TAAATTAATAGACTGAGTAAAGCAAATTGCTGTCCACTGTGTGGGTGGGCCTCATTCAATTCTTCCGTCTCACACACATAGTGCAGACTCATCAGGAATAAAATCAAGTCTGGCAATAAACAAAAGAGTCATTCTATATAAATTATTATAATAAAAATTAATATTTACTTGAATATTTTCCATGTGTAAGGCTCTGGGATGAACATTTTTACAATTATCATATTTGATTCTGCAAAAAATCCAAGTACTACTAACATTATCTACATATTGCAGATGAGGCAACTAAAATTGAGAGAGGATAAGTAATGTCCATTTCATATCTGAGAATTAATATTGCTGGTCTTAAAGTAAGATCTGAATAACTTTAAAGTCAATTTTTTAATTAATTGCTATAAATTTTGAATATTGGACTGAAACAATGGCAGAGTGATCCAAGAGAACGAGATTTCCAGGGTCACAGGATGTACTGTTGACTACTTTTTATTCAACAAGCAATCTATATTAGTCTTTGGTTGAGTAATGCCTTGAATTTTTTAATCTCTATGAAGCTCTCATAGAGCAGAAATCAAGAGTCCTTTGCTTTATCCCCCATAGGGGCTACCACAGCTAGGAGGCAGGAATGCTGTGGCTGTTCCATTGATAAATTTTTATTTTATAATATTTTATATACAACTATGCATATGTTATATATTTTTTAATTTAGTTATGTGAAGATCCAAATGAAGCATATGAACACATTGATTATACAAATAGCAATTTTCAAAACAACTTTTTTTAAAGTTAAGGTAGAGGACAGAGAGTCAAATGATTTTTTTCCTCTTGTTTTTATCCCTAAACAACCTTTAATTACAATTCAAATATCAATTTTCTGCCTCTTACTTGCTCTTTCCTACATTGCCCATAAACAGGCAAAAAATTAAATTAGAGGAAAACAAACTACAAAGGGGAAATGATGTTTACCATTTACCATTAAGACAAGAATAAAAATAAAAATAAAATCTCCCAAAAAAAGAATTTGGGGGGCCATTTTCTTTTTCTCCAACCTCATAAATTGTTCATAAATAATGTTCATTATCATCATGTGATTATCTAATAATAAATAAATTTAGGTGACTGTGATTTTCACTAATGAGGAATGATCTATATTCATATTTCTGTAACTTAGTTCAAGTCCATCTTCTCCTCAATTTTAGTAACTGAAGAGATATTTCCTCAGTAAGTGAAGCATATGACCAGCTTCATAAACTTTACTCTTTTTATAATGCTTCTCTCTACAAAACTAACAAGTAGAATATATTCCATTGTCTGTAAGAGTAAAGTTATAAAAGAATTTAAGGAAATAGCTTTGGTAGTAATACATAAGGCTTTTGCTTCCACATGGCAACAGAGCTATGGGAGAATCAGAGAGGTGTTCTTATTTGCATAGTAAACATTGTGATTGTTTTTCCTGTGGGAATAGAAAGTATGATACAGATGGTGTGCATTTGCTGGCAATTTTCTCTTGGAAAGTTAAACTTACCTTATTTGGATACATATGTTCTCCAGAATTTTACCAGTGACATCAGTTGAATTACCTTCTTCATAAAAACTATTAGCTAACAGATAACCTCAAAAATTCAGAAACGTGACTTTACATAAACTGTGAGTTATGATGAAATGTATCAGTTTTTAACATTTTTAAAATTCTGTATAGATATTTTCCCATAAAAATAAATGTTTAAGTAACTAAAATAACTTTGATATATTTCTATTTTTTCATCCTTAATGATAAAACTATCCTTTTTGGGGAGAGGGGAATTCATCTTTTTTATTTCATTTTACAAACTGTGTTTATAATTTATATAAACTGAAAATTTTTAAATTATACAAGCACATATTACTTAGGACCAGGAATATAAGATTATTTTTATCTTTTATATTCAGTTTGGGAGGTGCATGTGCAGGTTTGTTATATAGGTAAACCCATGTCATGGGGGTTTGTTGTACAGATTGTTTTGTCACCTCAGTGTTAAGCCTAGGGCCAATTAGTTATCTTTCTTGATCCCTCCTTCCACCTTCCACATGCCACTATCTGATAGACCCCAGTATCTCTTGTTCCCCTCTATACGTCCATGTGTCCTTATCATTTGGTTCCCACTTAAAAGTGAGAACAGGATTTTTTTGATTCTTACATTAGTTTGCTAAAGATAATGACCCCAGCACCATTCATGTCCCTGCAAATTACATGATTTTATTTTTTATGGCTGCATAGTATTCCATGGTGTATATGTGCCATATTTTCTTTATCCAGTACATTTCCTCATCCAGACATTTAGATTGATTCCATGTCTTTGCTATTATGAATAGTGCTGAGATGAACATACACATGCATGTGTCTTTATAATAGAATGATTTATATTCCTTTGGGTATTTACTCAGTAATGAGATTGCTGGGTTGTTTAATTTTAGGTCTTCGAGAAATCACCACACTATATTCCATAATTTCTGAACTAATTTACACTCCTATCAACAGTTTTTAAGTGTTCCTTTTTCTCTGCAACCTCACGAGCACCAGTTAATTTTGAGTTTTTAATAGTAGCTATTCTTATTGGTGTGAGATGGTTTCTCATTGTGGTTTGATTTGTATTTCTCCAATGATCTGTGATGGTCAGCTTTTAAAAATATGTTTATTGTATGTCTTCTTTTGAAAACTGTCTGTTCATGTCCTTTGCCCACTTTTTAATGGGATTATTTGGTTTACTTGTGACTTTATTTAAGTTTCTTATAGATGCTGGATATTAGACCTTTGTCAGATGCATAGTTTGCAATAATTTTCTCTCATTATATAGGTTTTCTGTTTACTCTGATAGTCTCCTTTGCTGTGCAGAAGCTGTTTGGTTTAATTAGATCAATTTGTAAATTACTGTTTTTGTTGCAATTGCTTTTGGTGTTTTTATCATGAAATATTTGCTGGTTCCTGTGCTGAGAATTGTTCCATCTAGGTCGTTTTTCAGGGATTTTTGTAATTTTGCTTTACATTTTTTAATCAATCTTCAGTTGATTTTTTATATGGCGTAAGGAAACAGGTTAAGTGTCAAACTTCTGCATATGGCTAGCCGGTTATCTCAGCAACATTTATTGAATAGAGAGTTCTTTTCCCATTGCTTTTTTTTTTTTTTTTTT